ACTGAACAAAAATATTTTACATATAAAACTATGACAAATGGCTACAGAATCAAGAACTCCATGGCAATTATAAATCTTTTCACTTATTTCAATCATGGTTCTGGGTTTATTTCTGGCCTTCAGGGGCTCAAACAGCTGGACATATAGATGAAAGAGTAGGGTATGTAAGCACATACATATGGACTAGGAATGGTGAACTGTAAGCAGGATTTGCAGTTCCCACGGCTGTGTGTATTAAGACGGCTGTCTTCTGGGTTATAGCATCCCGTAATCTGGTAAAAGTTTACCAATGTTTCAGAGGTCCTTGGTGCCTCCATCATCAGGCATTCTGATGATTGAGGCAGACTACATGATGCTACAACCCAGAAGATAACCATCTATTGATGAACTCTAACATTATACAAACCTTCCTTGGGTATATTTGTAGCCCTATGGAACCGCACATCCTCAAACACAACAGGCACAGTGGTGTGATCCTGTCCAGTCATCAGACCAACTGAATTCCACACAAGTTCCTGTATAATTTGATCATAAAATTAATGTTTCCACTGACGCACAAGGTGCAATAATGTAGAGAACAAATGTTAATTACGTACACCTGAAATTCACTGTCACGACAATTTTAAGCAATGTTCAGCTCTCAGGTTATGGCTGTTGAGGTGAGCTGAATTAGAAATAAATAACAATATTAACAATATCTTAACACATCTAGCATGAACAATGTGGGATAAACATCATACTGTGTTAATAAATCAGACTGACAAAATAAATGTTAATGAAACTCACAAGGTAGCCTGCTGCAGGAAATAGATTTCTGCCATCAACGACATGTCCAGATAAATATTCCCTTGATTCATCCTGTAGGCTGATAGTTACAGATCTTTCACCAGAGTTCACTTTGGGCTGTAAGCACATAAATTAGTACAAAAATATAATCTCAGCAAGAATGAAATGATGTGGCAGGAAGTGCACACAGTTCAAAGATGAGAGACAAGAATTAAAATTTGGATATATGTAAGACTATACACAAATAAGAGCTACACATTTTAAAGCCATACTTCCATTCACAGCCACAATTTCTGACAACGAAAAACAACGCCTGAGGGTCACTGCCCAATTTACAATGTTTTAATCAGTTTCACCCGTTCCGTCAAACCTCAAACAACAGGCCAGTTGTTTTGCCAGGCTGCTTCCTAAGAACTTGAATGTTAAAGACCAATGGTAAGTGTATGCGCCACCTACTTAACGGTCAGTAATTTTGCGTTTTGTATTTGCGGGTGAAATTGATTTTCAGAATAAATAGCAATTATTTCTGTAAATACGACTTATCAACTAATCTTTGTAGTGGAGATGTGTCACATTTTCTCTGAGTTAAAAAATGAATTCTTAAATACTATTTAGATAAGATACAGCTTTAAATGGTTAATAAAGCAACAACAAGGTTAATGCATAAATTTCTAATGCAACAGCCACATCAGCAGGACTTAATATAACATCCCTAAACTTGGTACAGTGATTAGTCTTGGGAAGAAACATACTTTCTTAAAAGTTACTTTTGCATTGAACATAAAATAACAACACAGTGTTAAAGTAAAATATGTATTTCAGTTTATACCATTAATGAAGGTTTGAAATTGATAAATTGTGTTATCACAGATAATAAACCATGATATCAAATCCTGTGTGTTCCATTTTCTGTATGTTTTAATTACAAATATGGTCACAATGAGAAATTTTGAGAATATATCTCAGGACCTACCTGTAATTAAAATCTGGTGTAGCAGGCAATATTATAAAGCTATAAAAGTAGATTATACAGATATTTATTTATAGTTTGTGGTAATGTCTGCACACATATGGAATCATTTAAATGAAAACAGGTGAAACATTTTATTCTTACAATTTTCTGTTAATTAAAAATATTATTGTATCGTTTATCTTAAATACAGATGTGGTACAATGTCATGTCAAGCTGTACGTACACATTATTAATACAAGTGGAGTTACCTGTGTTGTGTAGTACATGACGTACCAGTCCTCAGAGTGGTCCCACCGGACTAGTGGGGAGATCATTGGAGTTCCCCTGCTTACTGGGTATTGTACTGGTGGATACAAGTTTACCAACTGTGGTTGCAAACCTAGTTCATACAACCTACCACAGAGAAAATTATATCACGATATTTAGTACCATTGTAAGCAATAAATCAAACCACATTTCTCAGAATCCAGAGTTTAAAGTTTATAGCTTTTAGTATCAACCTTGAGTACATCACTGCACAGATAGTATGTCATATTAGCCCCAAATATATTAATTTTCAGTTTCACAAAGCACTATAATATGTTCCACTGCAAAGGCTGTCACATCCATGTTTCGAGAGACAGAATATGTACGTAATTTTAGCACCTAAGGTGCACGTAAGTGTCTTCATTGTATACCCTAGGCATATGTTTCCTATTTTAAATGCACACATGCTGTAGCTTTACTTTAATATCTTTATATTTCCATTGTCTTTAACACTTATAAATACATATTTTATATGGTATTAGAAGGTGTATATCATTTATAATTCTACAGATTGTTGTGCAGGTCAATAATTCTTTATTTTGTATCATTCCAGGCAAAGGAATTACGCCATAATAAGTACACCATACGTAGTACAGCACGCACGTCATTACAAACACAAATTGCAATAAACAAAAAAATCTAATGGAGACAGAGAAAAATTAGTGCAGAAGTAACTTAATAAAGGCCAAAAGATGCCACCAAATTACCTTAATAAAACTTGCTGATCAAATTTAACCTGAGTTTCCACTTTACTTAATCTTATTACCCAAACACAACATCTTAATGCACAGCAAAACTGGTTATGCACTTCATTAGCACACTGCTAAACTCCAGAGACAGAAAATTGGCCACCAAACCCATAGTATGAGGTTTCAAATAACATTTTTCATAAAAGTAAAGTTTAAGTTCTAAATAAGTTTTAGACATATGCCAATAAATATACGAGGTCTGTTCAAAAAGTATCGGACCTTAATTTTTCCCACGGAAACAAATGAAGCACGGGAGGTGTTCTCCAGTGGGGGGGAACCTTCATGTGCTTGCGTGAATTTTTTCCTGCCCACAGAGAGTGTCAGTCCCTGGCAGTCACGTCTGACAAAACCTTTACAGTCTCCAAAAACATGACTGATTTATTTTACATGTATGTTCTCCACACAAGATCGGGTTCATTAAATACTGAAGAGGACCTCTGTGAATTTTTAAATATGTAATGCATAGTTTTCTAGTATTTTTTCCATGTCTAGATTGTTAATACTGAAATGTAGTCAACAGTGTTTCTTTTATATTAGAACCCCGAATGCTGACCAATGATTTCATTCCCAATTTCTAAGAAGATACGTACCTTCCCAGAGCAGTGAGGAGGACCTCGGTGCAGTTAGGGTGACCTTGCTGTGTAATGGCAATGTTGGTGATGCCTTTGTTGAGGGAACTTCTCAAGATGGACTGCAGGAGACCGTGTGGAGCAATCTCAATGGCGATGGCGTTACGTGGGACGTGTCGCGACGCCTCTTCGAAAAGCACAGAGCTAAGCAGGTTGTTGGTGTGGTACTCGGCTGATGAGTGTGTTGCTGATGGAGAGTTCCATTCACTCTCTGGCACTGAAGAACTCACCCAGCGAGAAGATCGGGGTTTTGGGTGCGGGATCAGCTGCAGAGCCACAAATGTTAATTATAAAATCTACAACATTAAATAACTAATTGATTATGTAACAAACTATGTACATTACTAAGAAACTGAGAAGCAAATTAACCTTTATTGTCTAGAAATAGGTTACTTAAACTCACACACTACAGGCTACTGTCTTGACTTTATCTCTGGCAATAATGGTTCAGTGATATACTACAGTGACACACAGTCAGATGGAACCCACATACACTGTCATGCACAACCAATAAAGGCAAATTCCTGTCTATGCACCAATGTATCTAATTGATTAATGTAATTAAGTCCATGGTGCAAGGACCTTCTGAAACATCTGATAATTTCACCGCATTTATAAAGCTCCACTACTGAACTCTGTACTTGCCTAGTTGTATCCTGTACTTGTCTAAAATAAACCGTCTGAACAACAAAAACCTGCCATGAAGTTGACCGTCTTCTGAGATGTTGCACCGTGCAGTCTGGTAGAAGTTTATTGATGTTTCAGGCATACTTGCTGCCTTGATCGTTAGAGTGACGAATAAAAGAAATCCTATATCCTGACAATGGAGGAACGTCTGTAACTTCGGTAAACTTCTCCAAGACCTCAAAGTGCAACATCTTGGAAGACAGTAATCTTTATACGTGCTGCCATGAGAATCTGAAATCTCACCTAAGAAACTTGCTAAAAACCACATCTGTTGTTTAATTTTGTTAAAACTATCAATTAATGAGAGTTCAGTAGAGCCCATGCCTTTAACGAACATAAACTGTCACATGCAAATTCTGAAACCCTTAAGATTTTCTGAGCAGTCAACACACTTTACCTGCTTCAGATACTTGCACAGGAGAGGCCCAGCTGAGGACATGTGCTTGCTGTGTTGAGCGATGTTGGCACAGTTCATCTGTGTAGTGGATATGCCTTGAAGTTGCAGTGACTTTATAAACTCCGTCATGGACTTGGCCGGTCCTGACAACATACAGAAGTTACGTCCATAGCGGCACGCCACCTCAATGTCAGGTGGGCACAATTTCTTGGCCTGATCAGCTCCCAGACCTGGAATACAAGATCCTTAGTAAGCATCAAATGGGAAAACATCACGATATTATCATGAGTTCTCCCAAAGGCTCTAAAAACCATAAAAATGTTTTATAGCAAGACTTTATGCCCAGAATCAAACCCAAGAGCTCCCAAAAACCATCAAAATCTGTAAATCCTGAGTGCAGCCATACAGCGAACAGACATGCAATGCTACTCATAGTACTACCTGATGCTATAAGACTTACCAACTGTAGCCATCATGCCCTCGATGGGATCTGTTTCTAGGACTGCACAGCCACAGTAGTATGCCGCCAGCACCGTCTGCTCAGCCGTGAAACAGCCGTCCATATAAGCGCAGCCCAGCTCCCCCACTGAGTGGCCCACAATGCCATCGGCCTCAATGCCCACTGCTCTCATCATGTCCACCAGCCCTATCTACATCAGACAGGCAGGATTTTATTGCCACCACTACATACCAAATTTGGTTAAATAAAAGGCTATGAATCAAAATGGCAGTCAGTTTCTCTATATGAAACAGAAATATCCAAGTATCAATGAGTGTTTAAACTAGCAGTTTCATAATAGCAGCACTGAAGAATACATTACTTAAATTTTGAAGAAACTCAGTATTTTAATCGGGAATCAAAATGGTATAAATAAACATGAATTAACTAGAGAAGATAAGAGACATGAAATCCAACATGTCAGCTGAACACAACTTCTAGAAGAACTGAGATGCCTGGGATTCATAAATAGGTTTCTAAACAAAAAATTTAAAATTCCTGCCATATTTTTTTAACCTTTGCAGTAACATTAATTAATTGCTTTGGAAAACATACCTGGCAGGCTGTAATGCCCACAAAGCAATTAAGGATGTTATTGTAGATTCCGGGATCATCAGATGTGATTATGTTGATCACATCCACACCATAATTATTCAGAGTTCGCTGGCACTTCTCAATGGCAGCTGCAAAAACAGGCAGTTTGAGGAGGGATTTCCCCATACCTGGCCATTGCGAACCTATGCCAGTGAACACGAACCAGACAGGTCGTTTGCTTCCTGGGTAAAACTGAGAACAAAGCAGTGTATGAGGTTATGTTTTCAAAATGTTAGTGAGTATTGAAACGTCTTCATTCTGACTATTGTAATCTACAGTTCACACCTGTCGTGCTTCATAGAACAGCACTGCCAATAGAACTGCAAATGGATTACCTTGATCAATCATGTGTTATGACAAACATGTAGGCAATATGCATGTTTAGAAGACAAATGAAAAATGTAATTACTCTGGTCATGAAACAATTGACCAAATGGCCTACAGAATTACTCATGCTGCAAAAGCCCTAATTATATATATGATTAGCACTTAATTAAAATTTCAGTGTTGGGATTACATCTGTTTCCCAAGTTTTCAAAAAGTAAGGTTTCACCGAAATTGGAATCTTTTGAAGTGGCTCATAACTTTCTTCGCATTCCTTATTGAGATAAACAAACAGATAATGCCCATGCCACATCAGAGTACTTACTGTAATACTCCGCAGATTCCTACCATCCTGTGTGAGAAGCGTGTACCCTCGGTATTTGTGGCCAATAATTCCTGTCGACTGTACACAGTGCATCAGATGCACAAATTCTGCATCAACTGGCCGTTTTTCAAACTGCATACAGAAATAAATGTGCATAACTACAGATTTTAAACCAGATAATCATACAGCATCCTAAACGTAATTATACGATGTAACAAAATTTGACGAATATCCGCCGCCTGCAATATGTGAATATTGACTGACTGGGTAATAAAAAATTTAGTGTAGCAAATTAATAACCGTGTCGTAACATTAGAACTAACAACCTGCAACAGTTACACACTACTATGAGATGTGAAAGGTCAGTCAGTATTGTGTCTGAATAAAGACTGGATGACCAAGGTTTGATCCCTGGCATGTGCAAAGGATTTTCCTCTAGTACCTGCATCCAGACTGGCTCGAGAACCCACCCAGTCTCCAATCGTGGTGATACAGACAGAGCCAAGGCATAAACTGATCATTTATAATGTAACAGTTTATTAGTTATGCTTTTTTATTGTTCTTTAAACATGCATTTCCCAGCTTGCTACTGTTAACTACCACCTGGAGCTTGACACAGTGGTAGCAAATCCACTCACATCCATAAGGATGACATTGACTGCCTCCTCTGTACGCCCAGACGCAATAACAAGTCGAGGAATGAGGTCAGCGGGAGCCCCACCATTTACTTTGTTCTTCTGATTCCGCTGTAGTATAGCGTGGGCATTTGCGCCTCCAAGTCCAAATGAGTTAATACCTGCAAGGTTGCCTGTCCAAGGAGTCCTCTCAGTCACAACCTATGGAAAGGAACACTTGTGTTTGGGTATGGTGAATGAATAATCTTACCCTGTGCCTGCCCTGGACTGCAAAGGGATCCATTTCCTATGTTAAAGCACTCCTAAGGTGAACCTGCCTTATGGAAATGACATTACTGAAAATAATTTCTGGCAAACAACAATGATTAAAAATCTGTTCCAAACATTAACTATACCATAACAATAATTTTTACAAGGGACAAAGCTTATTCAAAATCTATAAGCATGACAATATCATGTAATATTATGTGACAAATTTAAAATATTCAGAAATCGCAATAGTGAAAATTATGCTTAATTACACACTACTTTTACTCATTTGATAAATTCCTAACATTTACAAATAATTCATAATGTTCATTTCCTTTTCTCTATAAGTTTTCTTGCCTTTATAAAATAAATTGGTAGTATAATTTATCTACTGTATGTAGTGGGTAAATGTATTTGTAACACATCACTAATTATGTGAACCCCTTGTTTATAATATGTGAAATCTTCCTAATAGTATCAATGGTACTTGAATAATATGTATTGTATTATTATGACTTTTTTCAATCTTATTGTCATCTAACTTATGGATCCATGGCATGTAATAAAGATGTATTTTTATATGATGGATCACTAAATTATATAATTATCATTCAATTTCACTATTAGCCTCAACATATATTCATAAGCAGTGTAATGAGTTCTTCTTAGAATATCCTTTCAGTGTGTGAGAATAAGGACATTTTAAAGTTGTCCTGCTATGACATGAACACTCACCTTCAGTTGCCCATTCACAAGTGCCTCTACACCTTCTCGAGGGTTGTTGTAGTTCAAATTTGGGGGGATGAAGCCAGTCTCCATGGCAATGATCACTTTGGAGATACCACAAAGACCTGAAGCAGCTTCTGAATGCCCCAAGTTGGACTTGACTGATCCTATAAGGAGTGGGGTCTTCCTATCTTTACAGAATGCCAGGGTTATACCTTTCAGTTCTTCAGGATCTCCAACCTGCAAGTGGCAAGAAATTTTGCCTCAAAGGGGATTGTTCCAACAGCTTCAACATGTTTATACATTTAACTGGTTATATAAATATGCTGGATAAGGATATCAAGGTTCTTAAGTTCCACAATTCATGCATAACATCCCATAAGTTTCAAAACTTCACATAAATACAGTAAGAAACAGGTTTTGCATTCTCTGCCATTTTTTAATAATAGTGTTGTAATGTTTGATTACGCTATGTATCAATTTTTCTAGTCAGAAGTAAATAGTAAGGCAGTCTATTTGTTATTGAAATGTGTGTCCTTATGGTGACTTGTCAGTATCAGAGCAGTCAAACAGTAAATTCGAACTAGATGCCACTACTGTCAGAGAGGGACAGACAGTGAGGACGACAGTAGGAGCTCGGTATTCATCACATTACCACTGTCTATGCCACAACAGTACAGAAAATCTGGACCCAGGTTTAAATCCTTTGATACCTTAACCTGAGACAACCTAGTGCTCATTTTATGAAAATGCAACTACTGACTGCATAAAGTTAAAAATGACATTTGCTTGAACTTGAAAGAAACTTACTCTGGTTGCAGTCCCGTGTGCTTCAACATATTCTAGAGCACTGATATCAGCACCACTCTCCTGATAACACGATTCCAGTAAAACTTTATGAATATCTCCAGAGGGGTAAGAGATTCCCTGATCCTTAAAGCCGTCGCTGTTGGTCTTCGCATGCACCACTGTGGCATATACACGCTTTGCATCCCGAGCCTTCTGCAGAAACACCACACAGATAGCCTCACTCCGCACATAGCCATCACCTGTATAAATGACAAGCAGGAAGTCAGGTGGTAATTTCTTTCAAGAACATTTTTGAGACTAGTTCACACCACCATCATCTTCCTTGGGGACGTATTCTGCTTATCGGTTAGGATAGCTGCCTTCAGGGCCAATGATAGAACCTGAACCTCAAAATAAGAAGCTGAAATTGTGAGCACTCAAACCCAGCCTTCTGTACCTTCACAGATGTAAAGTTACCCATTCAAAGTACACATGACAGCAAGATTTCGTAAAGTTAAAATGTCCTCAGTTACACTTAACACAATAACAAGTGGCGAACACACAGCATTTAAACTGACTGGTTTGATAGGATCAAATTTCAGTGGCAAAGGGGCATGAGATATGACACTACGTAGCAAATGGCCTGTAGCCAGACAGTAGCTGAGCTATGCTTACCATCATTGTCGAAGACTTTGCAAATGCCTTGAGGACTTAACACACCAAGTTGCGTAAACTGAAGAGATATGTAAGGATGGAGACAAAGTTGGGAGCCACCCACAATAGCAGAGTCACAAGATCCATTGAGAATGGCTCTATATGCCTGCTCAAATGCGTAGGTACTGGATGAACACGCTGAATCCACTGCATAACTCGGTCCTGCAATTGAATGTGCAATATCTTACAGGCAACAGACATATTTATCCACTACCTACACTAGTATTAACACCTACAATGCTAAATTTTTTTAACAATCACGGGCATAGCCCTGCGTTTATTATTTATTGTTTTATACTAGACAGACCAGAAAATGTTCACACACCACAAATTTTACAAATAAACTTAAAATTCTCTTGATAACAGATACAAAATAAAAAAATGGCCATCTTCAGGGTTGTAGCGTAGCATAGTCTGGTAGAAGTAGAATGACTCACCATCCTAACAATGAAAGCAGCAAAGACCTCTGAAATGTTGGTATACTTGTATGAGACTACACAGTGCTACAACGCAGAAGATAGCCATCTTTGTACTCCCCATCATGAGAACAATCAAACCATGCTTGACACAAAATCAGATTGATCAATCTGGATACTCTTAATCAATCAAATGTATCTGATGTCTGATCTTTTACAGGGGCTGACCCTGATACTGATCGCTATTCGATGGTTGCAAAATACACAGACAACCTATGACTAAAGTGAAAAGAGCAACATAAGAGACTGACATGCAGAGATTTTATGTCAAAAAGCTAAATGATGCTCAAGTAACAGAACATAATCTGGTCAAAGTCAAAAATAGGCTTGCACCTATGGAAAACATGGACAATAACGTGGACATCATATTTGGTTTTAGCAAAATTCATTCATGTAGATCTAAGGTACTACATGTGGGCAAAAGACAGGCAGACAGTAGTGACAAGATGAATACAAATGATGAGTAAGAAACAACATGGAATGGTGAAGCAATGACATGTTTTTAAGTACTATTGTATTTTGTGGAGAAACACCACTCCTTGACCTGTTGTTTTAGGACAAGGTTTATAGACACACCAGACACCAGCAATTGATCAATGTTGTGAATGTGCCTAAATTTGGAAGCTCTTGGGCAGGGATAAAACAATTACAACTGTGTTGTTGGGAATTGAGAAAAACACAAGGTTCTCGATTCAAACGTCAGTCCAGAGACCGGCTATCCTGACTGGGATTTTTTGTGGTTTTCCTCAGTTCCTCCAGACAAATTCCAGAACAGTACCTTAAATCGGGCCACTTCCTTCCACATCCTTTCGAATTCATTATCACTCTCATTCGATGCTATATAGTTTGAGCTACTGAAAAGGAGTTAATAAATTAATTTTAAATAAATACAACAGTCTCCTGTAATTATGTTTCTTCCATTGATTCTATTCACCAGAACCAAAGTACAAATCATGTTAGAAGAAGATAATAAATATCACATACTAAACTAACATCTGAAGGACAGCACAAATGCAAACTTCATTTACAAGAGGCAGATCACACAGACTGCATTAACATGCAACACTGACGGCAGGTACAATGATTTAATTCCATAAACAGCCCTGACACAGTATTTTTCTCAAAGGTACAAGAAAGAATATATTTAAAATTAAATACCTGCATCCACGATGGCCTCATACGTCCTCTCGAGCAGCAAACGGCCCAGAGGGTCCATGGTGTGTGCCTGCTTATAGTTAATGCCAAAATATGATGCATCAAACTTTGTAACATTCGGCACCTTCCCTGCCCACATGGGGAGCTTAGGGTGTTCTAAACAGAAAATTATACGTATCACAAAATTTTACTAAAGTTAATATTTTCTTCAAAAATCAATAAGAAAAGAAGGATATGAAGATCAAGGAAGATACGTAAAGCTGGGCAAAGTTGTAGACATGTTCTGTGAACATGAAGAAGAAAAAGAAGAGGCACAAGTAACGGGAACTCAAATGTCACGAAACTGTAATTGCTGTGTTCAAATGTATGAACTAAATTTGTTCTGATTCTGATTTATACTGAAACTGTAAAACATTTTCCTTACTCTTCTTTATAGAGAATTATTTACCACTGAATGAAGTATAGCAGCAAATCATTAGGAAATACCACAGATCATGGCCAAGGCATATTATAAAATATTACCCTAACATTCACCTGGAAGGACTGATGTAAACTACAATGTGTTCAAAAAGTCACACAACCTTATGGGGGATCGAATGTTGTTGTTCAACACATGTAATTGTTTGTATTTTTTGTCCAGGTGGTGAAGAACACTGAGTAGCCATGGGGTACACCTTGCAGCAGCATATATTTATTGTCACGCTGTATGTCCGCTCCGGCAGTTATGCCAGGATGCAGGAGGCCTTGTCAGAAAAGTATGGAACAGTTGCTCCAAACAAATCCTCCAACATGCGGCTACACGACACGTTTCATTAGACAGGGAAAGTCGAGGACTCATCGAGAAGCGGTCGACCGAAGGTGTTAACAGAGGAAAAGTTGGTCGATGTGCAAGCTGCATATGCTGTGAGTCCTCGGAAGTCCATTCGACGCCTTTCAAGTCAGTCTGGGCTTTCTGTTGGCAGTGCCCACACGACATTGCGCAGGTGTTTGAAAATGTACTCCTACAAAATCCGTACCATCCAGCAACTGCTGCCTGGAGACCTGCAACTTCGTCAAGCTTATTGTCAGTGGTTCATGGAATCTGTAACGCCGGATGGAGAGGAACTGGATGATTGGTAATGGTCTGACGAGGCATGGTTCCATCTCGATGGGTACGTCAATGCCCAGAATTCTCGACTATGGGCCGCGAAAAACCCACATGAACCGCATGAGTCGCCTCTGCACTCACAGAAACTTAGTGTCTGGTGTAGCATGTCACGTAGTCGCATCTTCATGACTTTCTTCCAACACACAGTGAACAGTGACCGGTACGTTACAATGTTGTAAGAATTTGTCAACACGTTATCGGCAGAAAAGAAGCAGATCACGTGGTTTCAACAGGACAATGCCACAGCCCATACAGCCAGAAACACTATGGCTTACCTGGAAAAGTGTTTTCCAGGCTGACTGATCTCAAGGGGGTTGTGGCCAGTGCGATCTCCAGTTTTAACACCCCCGACATTTTCTTGTGGGGGTACCTGAAGGATGTCGCCTATGCAACTCATTCAGGAATTGCAAGCGAACATTCAGAATTGTGTCGATGCAATCCCATGGCAAACATTGCAAAGGGTCTTCAAGATCATGATTAACCGTGTCCACTTGTGTGAAACACAGAATGGTGGCCACTTCCAGCACTTACTGTGAAATAAATAGTTTCCCCACAAGGTTGCGTGACTTTTTTGACACTCTGTATAAGAAACCTCTTCCAGTAATAAGAATAAGACAACTCCTGTGTTACTCTTCTGAACAGCATAAAAATCATGAATATTTCATCTCATGAGAAATACTGACCAAAATTCCAGCGCCGATTATCCTGTGTCACCATGTTCACTTTGTTAAACAGATTATCCCTTAACTGGTAGACATTTTGTGATTCAGGAAAACAGCCTGCAAGCCCTGAAATAACTACCTCTTCACCAGGGGAGGACTGCGCGGAAGACATAGGCATGGCTGATAATAGTATGTTTTACTGCAAATAAAATAAGGTTGAATTACAGGAACAGCAATTTATGTGCACCACCATTATTAGTTTAAAGACAGGAATTCAAAATTACAAAATACTTGCTAGACCACTGTAATATATTCCTTTGAACTGGTATATTTTTAATTACATTTAACTCATAATTTCATTGTATACTTACATGACAATAAATGTCATGTTAGTCGACACAGACATGATTGGCAGCACTGTTATGTTTTACTGAAATAAAAAAAGGGTGCAATACATAGGCACAGCATACAATTGGGATGCCTGCCTTCCC